ATGAATGTCTCATGTCTTGTTCAGAGATGCCCTACTTCCAAAAGTCACTGCTGTTTTCGATTTGCGCATTAAAAACCCTAGTGGGTAGCGTTTATTGTGTGTTGGAGTCACTCTCAGAATATGGGCAAGAAAATGTACAGAGCCGAAGAGGGACTAATAAAAAGCCAAGAGCACTGAGGAAACATTTCAAAGACATAATGAAATACACTTTTCAGTTAAAAGACATTTGTGGCAGGATGAGTGCCTTCCCCAAAGCAGTCCGCATCCTAGTCCCTGGCACTTGAGTATGTTAGATCACATGGTAAAATGTACTTTATACAGATATCATTACAGTTAGAGACCTTCAAATAAGGAGATGATCCTAGATTATCTAGATGAGTCCAATCTAATCACATGAGCCCATAAAGGCAGAGAACTTTCTCTGGCTAGAAGCAGAGAGATATGGCAGAAGGAAAAGACAGAGAAATTTAAAGCATGGGAGGGTCTCGACCCAGTGTGGCTGGAGAGGGGCCACATGAAAATCATGAGAAGGACTCTCTCCCTCTCGCGCGCGCGCTCTCATTAAAAAAAAAAAAAAATTAAAGGGACGCCTGGGTGGCTCAGCCAGCTAAGCGGCTGCCTTCGGCTCAGGTCGTGATCCTAAGGTCCTGGGATGGAGTCCCACATCAGGCTCCTTACACAGCAGGCATCCTGCTTCTCCCTCTGCCTGCCACTCCCCCTGCTTGTGCTCACTCTCTGATTTAAAAAAAAAAAAAAAAATGAGAATTAATGCTGGCAGCCTCTAGGAGCAAAGACTGGCCTCTAGCTGACGTCCAGGTAGGAAACAGGGACATCACTCCTACAAATGCAAGGAACTGAGTTCACCTCACAACCTGAATGAGCTCAGAAGAAGATGTATCCTCAGATGCATCCTCAGAGGCTCTAAAAGGGAAAACAGCGCTGTAAAGCCTCTGATTTCAGTCTCGTGAGACTCTAAGGAGTAGACCCAGGGGAACCACACTGTGCCCAGACTTCTGGCCTACAGGATTATGAAATAATCAATTCATGTTGTTCTAAGCTGCTAAGGGTGTGGTTATTTGTTACAGCAGCAATAAGAAACCAGCACTATCAGCAAGGACCTTGACAACAGAAGCAAACATATCCCTCTGGACAGAATTTGCTAGTCCTGTTATGGCTCCTTCTCGTAGTCCAAAACAGATCGGAGGTTACTGGAGGACAGCAGAGTGAGGTCCCCATAAAGACTTCTCCTCCATCTGAGAAAGGTAGGTGCTGCTTCAAGAAGGACCCGCAAGGAAGGCAAAGGAAAGTTCACCTGCCCAGCCAACTGTAACAGCCAAATCCACCTTGCTGAGCCCTGAGACAAAGAGTCACTGCTAGATAGCCACAATCCCCTCCTAGAGGCTGTTATGTCAACAGTACAAATACTATGAACATAAGTCTTCCTTCATAAATGCATTTAACCTGGAGATAATATTTCCTGTATCAACCTATCCTTGTACTCCTCAGAAGCTATTTTTGTGAGGATCTCCGTTGAGTCCAGCTCCCAGAACATACCTGAACCATAATGAATTTTTTTTTAAAGATTTTATTTATTTATTTGAGAGAGTGAGCATGAGAGAGAGCATGAGAGGGAAGAGGGTCAGAGGGAGAAGCAGACTCCCCGCTGAGCAGGGAGCCCGATGCGGGACTCGATCCCGGGACTCCAGGATCATGACCTGAGCCGAAGGCAGTCGCTTAACCAACTGAGCCACCCAGGCGCCCAGAACCATAATGAATTTAACATACTGTACTCTGAAACAAACAATACATTATATGTTAAAAAAAAAAAAAAAGAAGAAGAAGAAGAAGAAGATAGTAGGAAGGGAAAAACGAAGGGGGGGAAATTGGAGGTGGAGATGAACCATGAGAGACTATGGACTCTGAGAGACAAACTGAGGGTTTTGGGTGGGAGGCGGGGGGGGTGCGGAATGGGTCAGCCCGGTGATGGGGGGAAAAAAAAACATAGTTCAATAAATGAATATGTTTTTAAATTTAAAGGAGAATGCTGAATGGAAACCACTATTAACCCCAGAGAACTTTAAGGATGCAATACCATTCTGAAATCCAGTATTAATTTTCACGCAAGGTATAAATAATTGAGGTCTACACACAAATAAGAATCTACAGGGTAAGAAGCCTTGACAGCATCTAGGCAAAGAATAAAATTTTTCGCTGAAATATTCTTCAGGGCTACTTTGCTTGGCATGACTGATTCCTAACGCAGAAGAGAATTTCTATCTTCCCAGCAATTGCTTTCAGCATGAAAATATTTCTATCAATGATTAATTTCTATTTACTGAACACCTGATGTATGCCAGGTCCCTTGTCATGCTCTTCATAGGCATGACCAATAATGACAAAGGGTGAAGTATATTATCTGCATGTAAAAGAAGAAGAAACTGAGGCTGGCTCACACTCAGGTTATCCAAGGTCACACAGCTGGTAAAACTTCTGACGTAACGTTTGAACCCAGACGCAGCTAACCCCAAGCCCACGGCCCTTCCCCTCTGCCACACTTCCCCCCGTGTTGTCAAAACACTGTTGTCCAGGGGTCATCAGGAGACAGAGAATACTCTTGGCTGAAAAACAGAAAAACATCCACGCTAACCAAAAAAAAAAAAAAAAAGGAGAAATGTTTCAAAACATGCCTTTCCTGAAAATCCACTTCTGGTACAGAAACACACACTGACACCCCAGTTTTTCTGCCCACGACGCTGCACCTGACATCTGGTGCTGCTCCTGTCGTGTTTCTCAGTGTGATTAACTGCCCATTGCCAACGATGTCGCATGTCACATTCATCTACCACTGAAAATGTTGAAATGTCAACCAAATGGCAGGAATAAGAGGCTGCTTAATGTAAATCAAATATCAATCCCAGTGCTCCAATTAAGGCCCTGTTTAACTCGGTATATAAAAGTCACATTTCAAAATGTTTGGAAGTCATTTCATCCCAAAGGTATCCTTCAAAATCACCTTTACATAGAACAATTTTGACCACTCACTGTATTCTAATTTAAGAGCCTCATTTTCTGACTTTATGGAGAGAGAGCTCTCAGCAACAGCAAATAAGCAGGAGCAGAATCTGAGATGCTCTCTGTGGCCAAGAAATGTGCAAAAAGCATATGGTAGCCACTTTAACACCCAGCCATGAACCAACTGATCTACAAGGGACCACCACAACAGGATGGACTGCGATGGAGCTGATAGTTTGGATGGTGGTGCATTTCCATGTACCCTATCATGCTAACCCTCCCAACCAGGAAGGGATGATTATCAGGTTGAAACCTAAGCTGCCGACTGTCAGATCATGAAGGCTATACTGTCATTCTACTTGGAGTGGAATCCAGACATTATGTGAGTGCAGTGATTTTCTGGGTTGTGCACACAGTATGTGTTTAATCATTAAACAGAAATGAAACAATGAATGGGCACCAATATAAATCATTTTGTCTTCTAAAAGCACCCATATTTCCACAATTTGCATCATTCTAGCTGAAAGGGTGAACATTTCTGTCTTGTAGTGAAATAGAGCAAAATAGCTAAAAGGAAATAGCTACAAGGAAATGGTCTACTATTTCTAATAACCTTTGGCCCTCTACGTCACACAACCCAAAAAATGCCAACAGGCTACATATGTCTACACCAATGAGCTTAGGTAGCCACTTGGACCAGTTTTCTGGAACTGCAAACATCATCCCAATTCAGAAATATATATCTTATTTGAAATTATACTGTAGAAATATTAACCAATAGAATCACAGACCACTGAACAAAGCAACTCAGTATTTTTTTTACTGAGTATTTTACTACTTCTGGAATAAAACAAAAACAGATCTTAAGCATTAGGCCTAAGCCCTTTATACTAACTGGTTCACCATCAACCAAAATCCCAAGAACTCACATAGTTTTCCTACTACCTTCATCTCAGGCAGAAGCCTGCACCATCATAGAGTCAAGTAGGATACAGGGTCTTCTTGGTCATTAGTGTATAGACCATAGGAGATGTTTCCAAGATCACTTTCTAGGGTGTGATCCAGGCACTGCGTCCAGAAACTGGACCTTCTTAGTACCCTGGGATAATGGATCTCTCTAGAAAGAAATCATGCTACACAAAGTCCCAGAGGATTCTGATTTCTTTTTATTATAATGAGGAATATCTCTTTCCAGGTACATCCTTCTTCCAAGGCTCTTTCCCTGGTTTTAAGAGAACATACTAACAAATCAGAGTGCTATCTGGTGAGTAGGAGGCCAGAACACCAGATGCTAAATGATGTGGTTGGAGAGGTATGTCACCAGAGCTCCCAGAAAATCCAAAGAAATACACCCGTTCTGGAACTATACCCAACCCTCTGATGACCAAGTTCATCCACGTTTTTTAAGAATGAACATATATACTCTGGGATCGCTTCTCTGCACTATTGATTCCCAGGCTGATGAGACTTTGTTGCAATTTTTTTTTCTGTAAATGCAATTTTGTCATGGATTAATCTAATTATTGCGTGTGCTCCCATCCAGTTCCAAGGTTTTCCCACCATGACAGCTTACAGTGTCTCCTTGCTGAGATGCTTTCAAGAATGGATATCCATCTTCCCAGAAATGATCGTGAGACTTTTTTTTTTAATCTGGGGAACTCCTTCTTCAAATGAACTCTAATAATCTCAAATGTGGACAATATATTAAAAAAAAAAACAAAAACATAAAAAACAGGTCTTCTCTGAAACAAGCACAGAGGACGTTAGGCTTATACTCAGAGCTATACCCAACTCATTCTTCCCCCTTTTACCCTTTGGGAAAAAGCCCAAAGGTTTGAAAGAACAGGATACCACTGAGCTAAATTACCTCTCAAACTCCTGGCCAGCCCTATGTTTCTACAAAAAACAAAGCTATGTTATCAGGGGAAAATGTTCACATTCCAAAAGCGTGAGTGCTTGAAGCTTCTCCACACGGCAAGCCTACTCACCAGGATCGGCTTCAGGATGTCCATGTTGGAACGAAGCACTTGCTCAGCAGCATCCAGTTTCTCCCTTGGCAAGCTGCAAAGCTTGGAAACTTCTGGTTCACCAAGTTGAATCACCTCCTGTAATTTGGATCCACTGCACAGATTGGTCAAATGTAACTGGTAGCCTTGCAAAAATACCTGGAAGCATTTCATGCAAAGAGAGACAAGCAAAACCAGGTTACAAAGATGCGAAGTTAGGTCAGTACAGCTTTGAAGAATGGACACCATCGCAATAGTCCAACACATCAGATCTCTTTACCAACCTTCAGAACATAACAAGGCACAGTCTAACAGGAAACTTAAAGTCTGAATGTTGTCTTTGACTCATCATCTCCCACACTCTTGTCCTTGTGAAGGGAAATCCTGAGTCCAACGCTTTTTCTCAAAAGTGGGACACATTCAGGAAATAGGAATTGAAAGTCTAAACTCCTGAAACCATTTTATTTTATTTTATTTGAGAAAAACATTCTCATTATTTTGGAACTTATGTTAAACTGGGGTTGGGCTGAATTAGGAAAAAAAAAAAGCATTCATACTATTTACTTACAGGTATAGATATTTCATGGATGCAGAAAACTATTTTGAAGCAATTTCAGAATTTGGAACTCTTCATTTTATTTGCCCCCAAGCAGAGTACCAGAAAGCCAAGCCTCTTATGAAAAGGCCTCATTGAAGGCCAATTCTAAGTCATTCTTACGCATTCATTAGAGCAAACCCATAGAGAGCCTTTCCTTGGCCATATTTTGTGTACTTAATTACTTTCCTGGGCCTCAATAAACTGTACTTCTTCATAGACGGTACTTATTACCCATGAGACAGCAAATTCAGTAAGAGGCGCTTGCTTTTCTTACTTTGTGGGATAATGCTGAAACATGACTGACAGTAAATATTTGTGGAACGAATGGATGATGCAGATTCTGTATTACCCATTATTACCCACCCCCCACCCCCCGCTAGTTAAATCCGTGCAGCTTGACCTGCCCATAGTACGACCTAGTGTGAGTGATGGACCGAAAGCCTCTCCAGGCCTATGTAGCTTTCTAACATTGCAGAGCATTCAGCCTGCCATGGTTTCCATGAAGTCCTCACCTACCAGACATGCAAGTGCACTTCCGTATTACTCCTTTGTCCAAGTAGTCCTTGCTGTCAGCCTACCTTTGGTATCTGGGTTTGAGAGCACTGGTTACAGAGAGACCCTAATACTGTGCAAGGACCATCTCCACACTCAGGATGCCCCTTATTTCAAACTGATCTGACGCGACTGATATGAAATTGGCAGGGGGGAATGGAAATTGTGCTAAATGCAACTGTTTTCATAAGCCTGCTGCCTTTGGCCCATCTCCCAACCATACAACTGGTAAACACAAGGCATAGTTTCCTAGTTTCATAAGGACAAGCGGTAAGTACATTTTTCTAAATTCTACATTATGTAAAGCAAAGATCTTATTTTCGGGCATAAACATTTCCACTACTTCTGCTTATTGTAAAGATAAGCTAGTGTGTAAATGTGAGACAGGGTAAAGAAGCAGGGCCCCTTTCTGCCAAAGAATAAACTTGGGAAGCTTCCCTGAAAATCGATAACCATACAACCCGGGTCCGCTGCTCACTGCACAGGAGCTCTAGGAGATCTAATTATGCCAAAGGAAGTTTTCTAAGAATCTAAGATTAAAATTCTATATAAACACTAACATTACTTCCTGGTTTTCTCCTTATTTATTTTTCTTATCCATCGTTAAAGGAAGCATTAAATTTTAAAATCTGTCTTAGAGGGGCGCCTGGGTGGCTCAGTCGTTAAACGTCTGCCTTCAGCTCAGGTCATGATCCCGGGCTCCTTGCTCCGCAGAGAGCCTGCTTCTCCCTCTCCCACTCCCCCTGCTTGTGTTCCCTCTCTCACTGTGTCTCTCTCTGTCAAATAAATAAAAAATCTTTAAAAATTAAAAAAATTAAAAAAAATAAAATAAAATCTGTCTTAGATTTTATAGACAGCTGCTCTGTTCAATAATCCTCAACTCCGGCTACGGTCTCAGAACTGTGAACACTTAAAAAAAAAATGTTTAACTCATCTTAAATTCATCCCCCCCACCCTCTTTTAGGGGGGAGTTATCCACAAACACCAGTTGACAGGCAGGAAATCAGTTTTATTTCAACCAGCTGGCCCACGATGCCAGGTTGCACTTTCCACTCTCTGGATGGTTTGGCAATGCCAACCTGAGCAGGGAAGTAAAAATGGGTAATGCTGAACTTGAGCTAATAACCTCCTTCAGCACCATTACCAAGATGGGGGTTTATGCATTTCTTTCCAGGCACTCTTAAACAATGTAACTGCCATCAGCCCCACCGAGGAAGCTGAACATCCGTAGCTCACCTTGTGGAGACTGACATTGGCTCCCAGCATTCTGTCCACAGTAAGCCTTGGCAGAGAAAGGTTGTAAGTCAGGAATCCAGAGAAGGTTTCATTGTCCACTAGGAAATCCTGAAGCTTCAAGCCTGCAGAGAAATAGTATCTTATTTTCATATAAGTTTAAAAAAAAAAAAAGGACGATGGGAGTGGAGAAAAACATCTTAATATTAATGGCCCAGTTTTAAACCAACTGATAACCACAGGCTTCTGGCTGAAGCATACAGAGAAATGATGTTCAGGGAACTCTGCCTTACAGGAGAGATGAAAAGAATGCTTTCTGAAGATAGAACCAAACTCCAAGTGTGCTCCTAGACTCAAACAGTGTGACACACACAGCCTTTCCTTATTTTCGAGGAAGAAGCCAAACCTTTTAAGTGATGTCACCCATCCCATCTGAGATTTATGAACCTAACCCCATACTCCTGTCTCCAAATGCCACGTCAGCTAAAAATCGGAGATATTTAAAGTCTTAGTCCCACAGGCCCCGGAGGCTGATCTCTTGACGCGGGACAGTGGTTCTCAAACTTGAGTGGACAACAGAATCACCTGAAGGCTTGTTAAAACAGATTTCCAGGGGGCACCTGGATGGCTCAGTCGTTAAGCGTCTGCCTTCGGCTCCGGGCCTGATCCCTCAGGTCCTGATCGCAGGGTCCTGGGATCGAGCCCCGCATCCCATCGGGCTCCCTGCTAGGCAGGAAGCCTGCTTCTCCCTCTCCCACTCCCTCTGCTTGTGTTCCCTCTCTTGCTGTGTCTCTGTCAAATAAATAAATTAAAAAAAAAAAAACAGATTTCCAGTCTCCACCCCCAAAGTTTCTGATTCAGCCAGCCTGGGATGAGGCCGGAGAATTCACATTTCCAACGAACTCCCAGGTGATGCAGCTGCTGCTGGTCTGGGCCCCGCACTTTGAGAACCATTGGAGGACAGCATTACGCCTATCAAAGCACTCTCACAGATGTGATCTCATTTTAATTCCAACCCTGGAACACATGAGACAGAGCTCCAAAACCCAGGTCTGCTAGACTGTAAGAAAACAAAAGCATATATTTAAAAATTCAACCCTACTAAATGACTGGATTGCTGCAGGGTTTCATAAAGAATCCCTTTAATAATAAACCCTCTAGGTACATTCCAGTGTAGTGAAGCAGAAAAAGTACTGACCAGAAATCCAGAATTTTAGTCCCCAGAGTTGGAGGCTGTGCCTGGTGGTGTCATTTGGGCATTTCATATCATCTTTCTGAACCTCAGCTTCTTTATCTCCAAAACGAGAGATTTCTTACCAGGTGTTGGGGGGGCCCCCTGACTCTGAAATGCTACCGTTTTCCCTGTCCTATTTCATTTGACCGTCCACTTCTCCTTCTGCCCCACCCTCTTAATAACCCAACTTCTTTCAATAAAAGAGGAAAGCAGCTCACCATGACCACGTGCCTAGGCAATGCTCATTCGCTCATTTGCAGACTGCAGCCCACAGGCCCAGGCACTAACAGACCTCTAGGGGGCAAACCTTGCAAACCCAACCATTTAACTGATGCGAAATAGAAGTTTGATCTGAAACGGGGCTAGTGTGAGACTTAGAAGAGGACAGGAGTTAATCCTGGGAGCGAAGGGGGCTCATGTGCAGAGATAAAGCAGAAGGAAGGGACAAACACCCAACCAGACTCTCATCTTTGCAGCCTGATCCAGGTATGTTCTTAAGCAAACTTGAATAATTTAGAGCTATAGAAAGGATAAATTAAGCATGACTCACATCTCTAGAGAAATGACTGTCTGGTTACACCTGACATGCTAACACCTGGTTATTCCTCATGACACCTTCCAGAAGCTGGTCCTTGCCCAGCCTCCTCAGAAGAGGTCCTCCCTCCTGCAGATGAACACCAGCCTGGTGCTCCCCATCATATATGACACTATACTCTTACTGCAGGGCTCACTCCTATAGTTGCCAAACCTCAGAGCACCTAAGATTCACTTCGGGAGCACACTAAAATGCAGTTTCTTGGGCCCAATTCCCAGAGATTCTGAAATAGCAGATCAAGAGTGGGGCTTAAGAATCTGTATTTTAATAAGCATTCCTTGTACTCCCAATGCAAGGAGTCCGGGGACCATACTTTAAGGAATGTTTATTTGCATATTCTCTCCACTAGACTACGCTCCTAGGATACAGAATATGTGTGTGGGTTTTTTTGAGCAAGATCTACCCCCAACATGGGGCTTGAACTCACAACCCCGAGATCCAGAGCCACCTGCTCTGACTGAGCCAGCCAGGTGCCCCCAGGATGTGTGTTTTATCTCTGTATCCCTGTGCCCAGATCAAAGCCTTGAAAAGAATTACTGGTCATTAACAAAGAATGATGGCTAGATCATAAATACTAGAAGGTGAGATTAGGGCTGGGAAGATTTGAGAAGTATCTCAGCACTATCACAGATTTTCTTTCAGTTGAGTAGGTCCAAGAAGGGCCCAGAGATATCAGGACAACTCCCAGGCTACACCCCAGGAGCAAACAGGATCCCTATATTATATTCCCAGGGACACAAAGTAATATCCAGGTGTTTACCCCAACCATAGCGTCCAAGAAGGAAGGCAGGAAAGCTAGTGGCTTCAACTGAAGCCTGACACTGACCATTGTGGAACAATGGGAAAAACACCACAATGGGGGTCAGAAAAGCTGGGCTCTGTATCCATTCATCCGCCAGGACATTTCACCCAAGCTGTGTCTCCACTGCCTTGCTTTGTAAAACAAGGGGTAAAATAAAGACATCTCTGAGCCCCGGATAGAACAGGATCCACACACGAGTTGACCCTCCTTGACCACATGGACTACAAATTCCTCCCGAGTGTGAAAAGCCAGAGCTGAACGTGGGCACTGTGCTAGGGAACTTCACAACAGCCTCTTTGCACCAGAGCACGATTGCTGAAGTGTGGGAGGCTGACCCAGGCTGCACTTGCAATGGGTCGAGGTCATGAGCAACACTCCTGAGACCAGCCAGGAGGCTCGGTGTGTTTATAAGACTCTTCTGTTATGTCAACAGGTTCTGAGGATGAGAACAGCTGGATGTGATCAAACTCAAACCGCCTCTCAGTAAGTCCCCTGGATGAGACAGAAGAACCAAGGGGCCGATTCAATAGTCAACAACCCTGGGCAGTGTACGTGCGCAGGGTGGAGAGGTCGCTGGGTGGGGGAGCAGCAGGGCGGGTCAAAGATCCCTGGCTACAAAGAAGCCCATTCCGGTCACATGCGTACCACACATGTGGACCTAGATTCACACACCACCGCTGCCGCCAACCGCTAGAGCGAGCATGGACAGAGAAAGGCAATGTGGGACAGTGCACTGGTTCTCAACCTTGGCTAGGATTACACTCGAATAGGTAGTGTTACAACAACCCCAATGCCCAGGCTACAAGCCCCAGCATCGAAGCAGAACTTTCGGAGCTGACACCCAGGTACCAGAATTTTATACAACGCCCCAGGCGACTGTAGCTGAGTTTGAGAAACAGTAGAGTGGTACAAAAATCAGGGATGTGGGGCCAGAAAAACCTAACTCTGATGTCAGACTCTGCTGTTTATTAACTGCAGCTTTGAGAAATGCATTTTGCCTTCCTGAGACCAACTTTTCTCACCTAAGAGGCAAGGATAACAATATCCCCACCTGCATGAATGGTGATCAACTGGCTCATGGTATATGCTCAATAAATGGTAATAATTTTGTGATTATCAAGAAGGGCTTCTTTCACTTAACTTTACCAATGTACCGAAGTGAAGTGTAATGAGAAGGTAAGGACACAGTTCTTGCCCTCAAGGAACTTTCGAGGCTGATAAGGGAAATGAAGAAACGTCAATAAGGCAGAAGGAGGAATGAGGAAGACACGTCACGCAAGTGACCAAGATGAGGCTTGTCCGTAAATGCTTGGGGGGAGGGAGGAGAGTCAGGCTGAAGCCAAATTCTGGAAAAGGACAGACGGCCAAAAGTCTCTTGAGGTTGTGGCTGGGGAGATCTCTCATCATGGCAGGCCCAGGACACCCTGTAGTTGTAGCGCGGTGTACATACTAGGTGCCCATAAATGTTTTTCAATGAATAAATAAATCAACAACCAGATAAACATAGAGAAGATTCTTCAAAACCTAAGAGATTTGGGGAATAGAGTGGGAGAGGGAGGAGAAAGGAGTATAGTGGGGGCCAGAGTGGGGTGGCTTGGTACCTCTGGTCTCTTGTTTTCTGCATTATGTAGCTGGCAGGAAAATGAGTGGAGAAGCCAAGAATATGGAGGTCAGATGTCTGAAATGGCCCTTCTTCCCTTTGGCCTAACTAATTCCTACCTTTTTTTTTTTTTTTTTTTTTTTTGATGACTTGGCCCATGAGTCATCTCCTCCAGGAAGCCTGCCCGGACTTTCCCACCCTCAAGATGGGTTAGGTGGCTGTCCTTGTGCTCTAATAGCTTCCTCTGTTTCCCTCAAGCAGCACACGGATGGAGCTACAGTTGTCTGGGCACACATCTTTTTGCCAGAAGAAGAGAAGTGCCTTGAGGGGCATCTGGGGGGCTCAGTTGGTTAAGCATCTGACTCTCGGTTTCAGCTCAAGTCATGATCTCAGGGTCATGAGATGGAGCCCCGTGTCAGGCTCCGTGCTCAGCATGGAGTCTGCTTGAGATCTCTCTCTCCCTCTGCTCCCCCTGCTCACATTCTCTCTAAAATAAATCTTTAAAAAAAAAAAAAAAGGTGCCAGGACTTTGTCATTTCAAAGCACAGCAGTGCCTGCCACAGAGGAGGCACCAGAAGATCCGAATTCAAGTCCTGACTTTGCTCTTTCCTAAGTGTGGAGCCATGAACCTTGCTTTTCCCCTTTTCTTAATCTTTCTGGGCTTCAGTTTCCTTGGACGTAAAATGGAGCTAATACCATTCACAAGTTGTTTTGAAAACCAAGGTCAAGCCCAGGAAAGTAGTCTTTCAGAGGGAAAGAGCTGATGGGCCTCGACAGTTTACACAGGTAACTGACAGGGTGTGTACATGCTTATCACGGAGCTGGACTGGTCGCTAAATTCAACGTGAGTCCCCGCTGCCCACGGAGAAGACTCAGACTCACTACCCAGCAAAA